CGGAGTTGGAGGATTTGCACGATGGGGGGATGTTCGGGGGCGTCGTCGCGACGGTGAGAGGAGACGCGGAGGCGTTCGGGGGATACGATTTCTTCTCGAGATATTTCCGGCCTTGGGACGGGGTTCCCGAGGACTTCGTAACCGGTCGGTTTTGGAGGTCCTTCCCAGAAATAAAAATAAAAAAATAAAAAATAAATAAATATCCGGAATTTTCTCTCCAGGTTCTTCTCACACGGTCCTGGCGCCGTATTGGTCGGAGCAGCTGAAGGGGAAAAAGGAGATGTACGCGTATCAGTGCTCGAAGCGAGGCGGGGAACTGAGCCTCAGAGTTCGGGGATCCCGAGTGGAAATCGGGGGGAACTTCCACGTCGTCGTCAAGGGCGCCATCCATCTCTGATGTGATATGTCGTCCGTCTCTGATGGATGACGCCGCGTCGTCCGTCTCTGATGGATGACGCCGCGTCATCCATCTCTGATGCACCATGCCTTGACTTTTCCCCCTTTTTTTTTAAACCGCATAAATCACGTTATTCCCGATCGCACGAGCACCTCCTCGCGACTTTCGCCGTTACCGCCGCCTCAACACGTTGCATCGAAGGCCTGCTGAACATCCCTCCGCGGCGTTCGCGAAACCACCGCAAATGAAACTCGCGGCCGATCGCTATCGCAGCAAACACGGGGTGCGACGTTCAGACGATCTGATGCCTGCATCAGGCTGATACCTGCATCAGACTGATACCTGCATCAGGCTGATACCTGCATCAGGCTGATACCTGCATCAGGCTGATACCTGCATCAGGCTGATACCTGCATCAGGTTGATGCCTCGATCCAACGACATGGACGGAACGACTCGGCGAAATGAAGCGAAGCCGTTTCTCTTTTTCCTCCTTTCTCCGGGAGTTCCCCAAGTTTTCTCTCCTTTTTTTCCTCCGAAACTTCTCTGATATTTTTTTAGACTCCGTTCGGAGTTCCTATTCCTCGTCTCATTAAATATAGTATCCGCACGGGCAGCACTGCGGCGATGAGATGTGTTGACTCCATCCCCTGTTGCCATGGAAACAGGCGTATACCAACAGATTTCCTTGATAAATAAATAAAATATCGGACTCGGATCGGAACGAAACCGCATTTCGACAAACCAAACGGGCTTCGAACAGGGAAAGGGAAAAAAAAGATTTCAGAATGCTTTAATTTTTTTTGCTCTTCAAAATTGAGCACGGAGTGAAATCTTTTTTTCATCGTATTTTCCCATCACTTATGAAGTATTTGTTCCCAAGAAGAAACTTTGAGGTATCACATATGGTATTGTTTTGAAGAAGAAAAAAATCTTGAAATGGGAAACGTGAATTGGGAGACACGAATGCAAAAAGAACGTAGAAAAAAAAACAAGGAAAATTTGGTAATATAAGATACATCGAAATTGTTGCCTAGTGTCTCCAGTATTTATATTTATGAGGGAGAATCCAAAAGTTTCTGCTCTCAGGTATAAAGAAAACTTTTATCCAACACATTTTTTTCCAACCCTAACTCCTAGACTTAACACACTTCTGCCATCTATGGAGCAAGGAGTGAATCTCACTAACAAATGAGAAGGGAGGGAGGGAGGGAGGGAGAGAGGGAGAGAGGGAGAGAGGGAGGGAAGGAGGGAAGTGGGACGTTTCCGCGAGTATTAGGGATCGGCCAGGCTGGTTTCGATGGACGAAACGGGATTTCAATCTTTTCATTAGTTCAGACTTTCCCTGGGGTCTTTGGGTACTTTGGGTACTTTGACCTCCAGACTTGGGCGTCGGAGCCAGTTTTCTATTGTGCAAGATATTCCAGGCTTTCGGGTACAGAGGCGGCGGCAGGCAGGATCCGCCGGCTCGGTTCCTCGTACCCGTGAGCCCAGAGTATTTCATGCATTTTTCGCCTTTACGTAGAAAGGCAGGGAAGTCGGATGGCCGCCTGCTCCTTCACTGGGGGAAAAAGGGGGCGGGGGGCGGGGGGGAGAGTCTGATGCGGAATGAAGGGCTCGGGTCTTCCGAGATGAGAATCTTCGAGGCTGAGTACTTAGAGGGGTTGCATGGTCCACAGACCTCGATGAAAATGTCAGATATACTAAGGTCCAGTCAAATATCCCCCCCTCTATTTTTTTTCTTTCTCCTTGC